CTCTTATACCGGAACACAACACTTGGAGTATTTACTACCTGGCTGTTAGATATGTAAGCGGGTGATACTAATCAAACATGTAATAATTAGTCATCTACGTCGTTCTGCAGCAATTCTTTGCTGGACATAGAGCTTTTCAAAATTGAGAGAATTTAACATAGTCGCTACGCTTGGTAGATGCAATGATAGATGCAAGTAGTTAATCAAATATATTTCTAGGGTTTTTTTAATCAAACTGGAAATGGGTACTGCAATCCAACTTGCAGTACACCTGTCGGTTAGTGGCTGACAGTCCAAGGACATTTGCAACAGAATAGAACAGAAGAGAATAATTTTATTCAATAAGGATTAAAAGTAATTCTTATCTTCTATTTTAAATACTAGCAATGTTATTTAACATTACTTATATTCCATGTAACCACTCTTAGTAAAATTAAAACGTTTGTGTTAGGAGTGGTTCACGACAGTAGTCGGATGGCGGATTCGAACCTTGTACTACTGTTGCTTTTAAAATTATCACTTTTACTTCCTACTTCTAATAAAAAAGACTAACGATGTGTTGAAACATCTGAGGTCTAAGATGGAATGCCACACAGCCTGTAATTTTATACTGGCGCCAAAACTCTTTTAGACTAGACAAGTGTCAATCGTTAATTTCTCGTGACCGAATCATTGTAGTAGTAGTTGTAGTTACGTCACGCGTACCGGTACATTCGGATCGATCTTTCAAATGGATCATTTCGGGCTCCAGTACCCTATCCCTACACTAAAAACAATTCATTACACACACTTTTAAGTGTACCAGCTAAAACGAACGAATTATTCATGATTGACTCATGTTTACCTCAGACCGAACATTATCGGATTACCGTGCGCGCACTATTGCTTGGCGGCAGAAATAATTGAGAAATCCTAAAGAGACAAACTTCAAGGCAGACAAAGGATTCCTACCACCTAGAAAACTAAGTAACTCTTGAGGTGGTTAACCTGCCAGGATATCTCTAACATTCCCATAGATAATTGTACATAGATTTAAGATAGACCAATAAATTTGGGACCTATGGTAAGATTGCTAATAAGAGAGAGCTCCTTACAACGGAAGACTCCCTTGTCAGCAGTAAACTTTTAACTCCGCTTCTCGTTTAATCTAGGTCTCGTTTTAATTTAGACTTTTGACTACGAAGCAGTTAGTCTAGTGTTCGTAAATGCGCGTGCTGATCGTAAGGTCCTGTATTCGAATCCCGGGTCGGGCCAAAAACTAGTTATTAGATTTTCTGTCAAGAAATTCGGTGTTTCAAACCCGTGCCTCGATAAGCAAAGCTGTTGGTCATGCGCTTAGGGCCGATCATCTTTACAATGCCGTTCACAGTTCGTTCTCGGTCCGATCTCGGTCTGATAAAATATTATCATGTAAAAAAATGTGTGTGCATTCATACTAGACCGAGATCGGACCGAGAACGAACTGTAAACGGCAAATAAGTATCGGCCCTTAATCTCTCTCCGGCGGGTTCGGATTGCTGTGTTATCGGACTATAAGGGTGACAGACTAGAGAGTGTCCCAATGGTTGCGCATGGGTAAACTACCCACCAGTATAATCCTGTCCTGCGCAGATGGCTAGTCTCCGTTGAGACTGGCCGCCGTGAAAGAAATTTGGTCTGAAGCTTCTAAATAGACTTACGAACCGATGAAAAAGAACAAATATTTATAAAAGTAAATGATTTATAAAGAAAATTTCCAAATTACTAAACATGCAATACAATAGAAGATATACAACACTAGCTCGCGATATGTTCCAAAAACCATCACGAAAGGAAACTACCAGTCGCCCAAACAGACATTAAAATATGTAACATAGGCAAATATCAAAACACTCTCTCTGAATCATTGTCCAATGCTGCTCAAATGGTGTATCATTTAGTTGGCATTTTGTTGTAATTTAATAAATTGTATTGTGTTATAATTTAGTTATAAGGTACTATGGGACTGACATGTTAAAAATAACGTAAGTACCTAAATTAAAAAAGAATTAGGAAAGGTAAATGATATTTTTAAACATATTCCAAATACTTCCGCTTTCATATAGATTCTACAGCATACCGACGGTACTACTAGGAACGCCATAAACAATTAACAAAACCTATAAATAGCGCGTTATTTGTACACAAATATACGTCCGAAACAACGCGACCCGCCATCGTTACCACAACCTTCGACAAACAAACGTAACGAGGGCGGTCGTTTCTGTGACGCGAGGGTCACAGTTAATTGGACATGTTTTACCCGATGTATGTCGACTGGAAGTGACCCAAAAAATTACAATTTGTCAAGTGTCACTTAATTAAAATTTAAAGGTTGTGTTAGCCTTGGTATATATTTTACGATTTTAGAAATTCGAACGGCTTAAAATAAGTAATTCTCAGGAGATGTAAACTGAAAAATGTAAATGAAAAGAATCAGATTACGAGGTAAATACATGTGGCAATAAATATAGACTGAGGTTTGTAAATGGGTCGATGTAGCACGCGTGTTAGATATACCTTTCTCCCCGTCAACTTACACTCAGCTATATGCTGCTTTGCTGGGAAGTGGGTTTTTTAATGTAGAATAAGGGTTACAAACGAGCAAACAGTCCACCATGGCAAGTGGAGTCTGTGGCTATCCTGGATTAAGAGTCAAAATGCAGTCTTGTCATTGAATAACACTCTGAAATGGAATGCATCGTTCCCAGTAAAAAGGATCTCCGGTTCTCTACACTCATCAAACGCAACGCAACAGCATACGCCGGTATTATGTGAGAGCGTGTTCCTTCACCGCTAGAGCCGACCCATTGGGTTACGGAGACCAAATATCCAATGTCTGCTATAGGGACCATCTTATATTCCCGTGTAGTAGCGATGTAAGAGAATTAAGTATCCTATATCATCCTACGAGTATCGTATATAACAACTCAACTAAAAACCCGCCGACCCCCTGTCAAGTGTGACATGTACCGCCAACATCTCTTCGATGAGGCAATCTATTGGGGAAGCCTACGTTCTATTGAGGAGGGCTATGTTCTTACCTACGGATTTTTGATGCGTTGTAATGAATAAATGGGACACTCTTTCTTATCCCATAGAGATACCTACTGTCTGTACTGAGGATGTACTATTATCGTTTATGGCTAGTCATAATCACACGCTCACACATAATACGTCTGACCGATCGGAGGAGTAAAAAATTGATTTTTCTACTTTTGTCGGTTTTTTTTTTAAATCTCACACATAGTACATGTACATACACATATACAGTAGAAGGCGTATCTAAATTTAGCAGCATAATCATTACTTTATGAAATCTTTAAATACAAACAAAATTAGACATTGTAGTGCCCGAGACATAACACCGGTGTCGTGAGGTTTTTACGTGCCTTGGTGCCGATGTAGAGGAATCCTATTTAATTAATTTAATTTCGGCTTAGCAACTAGTAGCGGCGCTGAGGGCCGCGAATTCGAATCCTACACGTTGGATGTTTATCCTTGTGCAATTTATGTACATAAAGTTTATATTATAAACTGCCTCAACGATACAGGATAAAATCCTAGTGTGGTGATAACGTTGTCCAAAATAAAACAAAAAAACCGACATTAAACAACGTCAAAGATGCGACTTTATGTACTGCATTTGTCAATACACTTACAAAGCGTAACGAGTAAAACAAATCCTTCATACAAAGGGAGAGGATGATGAAACGTAACGTATACGCTTTTATATGTGGTATGCTGCATGCCGCAGCTACATTATAGTTGCACGAATGGGTCCGCTCGACCGGGGCAGGACCATGCTTTTACAGGATACCAGCGTAAAATAGCAGCTTAATACTGCTATGTTTCGTATGTTGAGTTAAGAAAAGCGCAGACCTCTTTTACTGAAAACGAGGCATTCCCCATCTTAGTCCTCAGGGATGACAATGCATCTGTATTTTGATTTTTGATTGGGGAGAAATTGTGGATGTATATGGGCTACAGCATCCATTTACCATCTGGTGGACTGTTTGCTCGGTTGTCACCTTTGTTCTATAAAAAAAGTGTTGAGAAACCACTATTACTACTGCAAGTACAGCTTTTTCTTCCCTGAAGTCCGCTTGAGGCTAACTTATTTCTACCTCTCTTTTACATTTTCTATAGTCTAGTATTTAGATCTTAAAAGAAAAGAACCAGAGCCATAAGGGATTCCAATTATCTTCTCGAGTTGTCTGATGTCTATGGGCTGCAATCCCCACTCAGTATGAAGCGGATTGCGAGTTTAGTTACGTTAATGTCATAGATAAGTGTCTCGATATTTAAATGAAATTAATTTTTACGTACTTTAGAGTGCATTTCAATCCCCGTTACCATGGGTGCTGTAAAGTATTCGAAACGTCGGAAATTTTAAATAAGTTAATATACGAAATAAAATCCGTAAAGATTAGTTTCATTTAAATGTGTAGAGTTCGCGTAAACAAGAAATCATAGTGTCTCGACACATCTAGACACATCTAGAGAGACTGTCTCTTGATTTATATCCGTGTGTATTCAACTATTCACACTAGCGTCTGCCGATGGCCGATCGAACCGTCGAGTCCGTCCCAATATGGTTGAAAACGAAAAATCTACGAAATTTTGAATTCACGGCGAGAATTGATTTACATTGCATAACATTATTTAGACAGAGATAACTCTGTACGTAAGGGTATTTATAAACAAGATTTTTAGAATTTCACGTTTGATATTACATTTAATATAATACAATTTTATACTTACCTTAACGCGAAGTTCTTGATAAAACCAAAATAAACGAAACACGGAGTTAATGATCAACGAATTTCATCCACAGATGAGTTTATTAATACATACTGGCATGCATACGTATATCAACAGACTCAACTAAATTAGACGTAGACAAACTAAATGTCCGACATTATATGTATAAAAATTAACAAGTCATTCTGCACCACCGCAATAGTATAAAAATACAGAAACTATAATCGATATTTTTTAGACTTACCTATAACGGGAGTCGGCGTGAGCGTCTGATCCCACGCGGGATCATCCTCCATTTTTCTAAAGCTTCTCTCCACTGCAACAAAATATCATCTTCACGTTGATTAATTGCCTCCAATCACAATCATTCATCGGAACTCCGCCAAAGAATGCCTTTTGATTCAGATATTTGCCAGAATTGTTACGATTGGCAAGAAATTCTTGTTGTGATCTTTCCATAATTCGGAGTTTAGCTTTTGTATATTAGTAATCATAGGTTATTCTATTATAGCCTATAAAAGTCCACTGCTGAACGTAAGCCTGCCCCATAGTTTGCCCCATAGGGGGGGATTTTGCCATAGTTGTCACGCATGCGGGTTGGAAAGTTTTTTTAAGCTATTGCATAGCTTATTTATTATAGCGCGGGGACCGAATCCAGAAATTCCGTAACGAAAAAACCTCACGCTCCCCACTCCGACGGGCACGGAGGTGTGGCGTTGAAAGCCGTGCATCGTCTAACGTCGTTTCAGTTCGGCAGACTTCGGCACTCGGCAGACTTCGGCACGGTGTTTGTGTGCGTGCGACTAGACGTATGCGTGTACACTAGCTGCTAACTCAATGATAAAAATTCCTGAATAACCAACATGTATTGTAAGATATTAAAAATATTTTAAACAATATGAACTTCTCATTTATTCAATAAAAGAAAAAAAATTGTTTTCTTATCGGTCACCACGCTCAAAAAGTGTAATTTGATTTAATATCAAAGACTTAACTGCATAAATAAAATAAATAAATAATTATAATTGCATAAGTTGATAAAAAATGCTATGCAATAGCTTTACCGCGGCAGTCACCGAGTGCCACACGTATTTTTTTATTATTTAGAGTTATCGGCAGGACGATGCTGCACATCTCCTGCTTTGTTTCCCTCTATCGCCTCTTACGACACCCACGGGATGATATGGGCTAGTGGATATTCTTACACCGCCACTAAGCGGTGGTCAAGCTTATTTTTTAATACAAATATTGCTGATTGCTATTAAGCCTTCCAAACGTTACGAAAATCCAAACCAACTGTGGACTAATTTTGAGTTGACAAGGAGTAATGTAAATACATAGAATATTTATTTATTTTATTCTTTATTGCATCCTTAAACAAAAGAATATTAAGGGCGGACTTAGTGCCTTGAGGCATTCTCTACCAGTCAACCCATGGAGTGGTGAGAATTTGACGTAGATGTGGCAATATAGAATAAGATAACACAATACAAATGATAATTAACTACATAATATATACAAACTACTAATAAATAAACTATAAATATATGATCTATCCTTACATATATACACATAGATAAATAAATGCATATACATACAATTATACATATTTAAAAACATACATAATTAGTAAGAATACATACGTCTGTTTGGCAATACATATTAAATACATGAGTCATGGAAAATGCGTTGTCTTTAATAAATGTTCACGGACCAACTTTTTAAAAGCGTACTTATTGGGAGCTTTTCTGATGTCATCGGGCAAGGAGTTCCAAATGCGTGTAGCCTGAACTGTGAAGGAGTTGCCATAGAACTCGGTGAAGTGAACTGGAGTACAGATTTTGTTGTTAGAAAAAAAGCGTAGGACCTTATCATGAGATGAGAAAAGATAATGAAATTTACTCTTAACATAAGAAGGCGAAGATGGATCATTTAATATTGAAAAAAAGAGAAAAGAATACTATAATACACAATAGAATGGCTGTCAACCTTATTTTGTACGAGCATAGGCGTCGCCGGAAGCAATTTAAACCAATTACGTCGTATTATCAGTAAATCACTACTACAAACATGATTCGCTGTGTTGATAGATGGATTTTAATACATATTTATTTGTAAATAGCGTGCAATTTGGCATTTTCTAAATAATTTGCATGCGAAATTTGGAAACGACTGTAACGTCAAAACACATCTCGTATGGACATTTATACGTGTGAATTGACATGTTAGTGACATTTTAGTGACTACGCGGGCTCCGCCCACTACCCCGTTCTATTATGTAAATATTATATATATAAATGTGTAAATATTACAAACTTTGTACATTCCAATACTGGACATAATCTTACTAATTTCCGAGCGGTTTACGAAGCAATTAATCTACTATGCTGTTCCAATACGTGATGACACACTTCACATATTCTCAAAATATTTTATTTCATAGACATGGTGGTTTACTCACAATATTTTCTTAATTAACACTTAAAAATGTAAAACAATTTCACTGATTAATAAGAACTTACTGTTCAGAAAATGCCCCGTGCCCGAAGCCTTCCTTGACTTCTTGTCGCTCGTATCCTGACCTATTAAAAAAATAATAAATTACAGGTAAGACAAAATAAGAAAATTAATGATCATTACAGACTAAAACAAACGGTTATTTATTCAGCGCGTGTCGCTTCGCCCTCGATCTAAATAAGGTCCGGTATACATTTTGAAAAGTGACAAGAGCGAGAGAGATTGACAAGTAAACACTGTCAAGTGACGAATAGCAAGTAGGTGTTCACATATGTGGATATGCAGTAAGGTCATAATTATGTGGAATTCCAAACCACATGGTATTTATAGTACCTACTCAAAATGGATGAGCAACAACGCCTACAAGTTTGCGATTTATTCATTTTATTTTTAAAATTCGGCGATATATTATTAAATGTTATGACCAAGATTAAGAAAGGGATGGTTCAGTGGTTTGGTCATGTAGAAAGAATGAATTTGGAAAGAGTGACAAAGCAAATTCATCTTGCAGAAGTGAACGGCAGAGTCGGGAAAGCACGCCCTAGACGAAGGTTTATGAACCAAATTGGCGATATTTTGAACATGGGTCACATTAGGAGTACCTTTAACCGACGAGCGTGTATGCGTAGATATATGAATGTAAAGGAGGCGAGAGAGGTGTGTCAGGATCGTGCCAAATGTACGTCCGTAGTCTCTGCCTACCTCTCTGGGTGACAGGTGTGAGTGTTTATATATGTATGTTTAATATAAAATAAACAATTGTGTTTAATTATTACTGGACAAATTTAATGTTATCGTCGTCTGACCATTTCGCACGTGAATGTTCGTGACATGTCAGCTATAGCGTGGGCAATGAGAAAGTGGGGGGAAAACGAGGGTAGCGCTACTAGTCAAAGTAAAGTAGTGTTACTAGTCAAAGAATAGAACAGGCTGCTATTCACCTGTTGCTATTCATTTCACACTTATCACTTGTCACTCGCACTTATCACACTGCCTGTTCGAAGGCAAACCGCAGTTGTTACTTATAAATGTCAAGTGCTTAGTGAATATTTTATTTACACTTATTAGTTGTCACTGCTTGTTCACACGCACTAAGCTTGTCATTTTTCAACTGCACTTGCCACTTGCACTTGTCACTTCTCAAAATGTAAACGCAGCCTAACTCTCACACTTAGACCGGTCACATATAGTCGGAATTCGGTTTCGAAAAATCGTTTTGGAATATCGATTCGGGATTTTAAATGCAGCAAATCCATATGAAATCCAGGACCTATCACACACGTACAGTAGTTTTCCGTTCGAAATTTTCTTAGATTTGAAATTCCACATGATGGCATGTGCGTTCGGAATCCTGTACGAAGAAAAAAGAACGATCCGAACGGAAGTCTTCCATAGATGTATGAGTCGCATCACACATTCGTACGCGGTGTCGAGGGAAATACACACGATTAAGGGAATGCGGAAGATGGTCTTCAAACTAGGTTGAAACACAACATTACTTTTATTTTACTACGTAGATATTACGTGTATCGTCACAGCAAATAAATATCTTTTTTATAGAATAAGGGTGACAATCGACCAGATTGTAAGTGAATGCTCTAGTCCATAGACATATTACATTTATCCTTGATTAAAAGTAAAAACGCAGATGCGTTGTCATCGCCTGAGGACTAAGATGGAATGCCTTGTTTCCAGTTGTCTCCGGATCTCTACACACACCATACGAAATACAGCAGTATTAAGTGTGGGCCAGAGCACCCACTTACCATCGGGTAAGAAAACGTTCGCGGACTTCAATTGTACTTGAATTATATAAACATGAGGAAATAGTTACCGGGCTGGTTGTTATGGTGTATCCTCTCCATGAACCTGGATATCCTGTTGTTGTGGTGTTCACCGTCTAGTACGCATCCCTCGTCCACAGACCTGGCGCAGTCGCGATGTACTCGCAAGTTGCAATCTGTTTCAAATTAATTTGTTTTAACAAACAAATCTTTATTTTGGTGCAGATGATGAAATGTTTTTACTTTGACTAGTACTAATTCTGTGTAGTGTATGTGTAAGAATATCTATTACCCCATTTCATCCCGTGGGTGTCGTAAGAGGCGAAAGAAGGTAACAAATAAGATGTGCAGCATCGTCTTCATCGTGTAACGACTAACAACCAAAACTTGCGGTCGGCGGGCCGCTGGCCACGCGCGGCAACTGCGGCCGGTATTACGGTTGACGTTAGTAGTCTGTAACAGTGACGGTTTAAATACTGCGTTGGTATCGACTTTTGGGCTTACCAACTCGCCCGTGTGTGGTCGTATAGTTGTGTGGTGGTGATGTAGTTATGTGGTGGTGGTGTGGTTGTGTGGTGGTGGTGACGTTATGTGGTGGTGGTGTGGTTGTGTGGTAGTGGTTTGGTTGTGTAGTGGTGTTGTAGTTGTGCAGTGGTGATGTGATTGTGTAGTAGGGGTGTGGTTGTGTGGGTGTGGCTGTGTAAGTGGTGGTGTAGCTGTCTTAGTGGTGGTGTGGCTGTGTAGTCGTGTGGTTGTGTTGTGGTGGTGTGGGTGTGTAGTGATGGTGTGGATATGTAGTGGTGATGTTGGTGTGTGGTTGTGTAGTGGTAGTGTGGGTGTGTGGTTGTGTGTTGGTGGTGTGTTTGTATGGTTGTGTAGTGGTGGTGTGGGTGTGTGGTTGTGTGTTGGTGGTGTGTTTGTATGGTTGTGTAGTAGTGGTGTGGTGGTGTGGTTGTGTGATTGTGGTGTGGGTGTGTGGTGGTGGTAGTGGTAGTGTGGGTGTGTAGTGGTAGTGTGGGTGTGTGGTTGTGTAGTGATAGTGCGGGCGTGTAGTGGTGGTGTGGGTGCGTGGTTGTGTAGTGGTTGTGTGGTTGTATGGGTGTGTAGTGGTGGTGTGGATGTGTCGTTGTGTAAGTGTGTAGTGATAGTGGGTGTGTGGTTGCGTGGTGGTGGTGTGGGTGTATGGTTATGTCTGTGTGTGTGGTGGTGGTGTGGGTTTGTGTGTTCGAGTGGTTATATGTGTGTGTGTGTTTGCGCGCGCGCGCGGCACTCACTGGCGCACACGTAGGCCTGCGGCGCCAGGCCCCAGATGACGAGGTCGCAATGGTGGCAGTGCGCCACCGACGTGAGAGCGCGCAGCTGCAGTTGGTGCCCGCGAACCACGTACTACGAATAAGCGGACACATCATAAAATATACCGGTATTTCCATCATCTCTATTGTATTTGTTTAGTAATAAGCTGTGACTTATTTAATCTTGCTTTTCAAGGATTTTACAATACATCTGTGGTCTTCTTTATTTGAGGTCTTTTGATATACATAAGCTACACCAGCCACTTATAATCTACATGTGAACCTATAACTCGTTTGCCACTCTAATATTTAATATATGTAATACCTGATAAAATATCTAACAATTATGATATTTTATAAACATAGGTAATATCTTCAACTTTGCTAATCATCATCACTTTCAATAACACTTTTGGAAACAGGGATACGAATATTAGAAGCTGAGAAAAA